GAGAGGCTGAGATAATTACTGAGTTTTGAGTGAGACTGCCAGTACTACCTAACAGTAAAATTTATCTTCGTGAGCTATTCGCAAACTCAAAGTATTCAAAAAGACCCCCATAAACATTTTCATATGGAAGGAGAAAATAATCAGCTGATCTGGCATGAATTTGCTGAGCAAAGCACATCTTTTTTTAACTCTTCCCAATAAGATCATGGCTGCTCTGAAACAATTTAGCATTTAACAACTTACTCTTCTAAATACGTGTGTGTGTGGAAAGCACATGGAAGTCTAAACAGATTTTCTCTTAGATGCTGTGCAATCGATACAAAAATCAACAGTTCCTCTAATACAGTCTGTCAATCTGCATGATTCGATTGATAAGGAACACTGAGTTCAGAATATAAAGGCCAAAAGCACTGATCTCAGTTGAGGACCAGGGAAGGACTTCCAGTGCAGATCACAACCGCAACCCCCTGCAGCAGCCTTGCCCGGGGATCTGTACCTCGCTCTGTTCCTGGGAGCTCTGCTTTCCACAGGTCTCGGCTGCTTTGGCAACAGAAGGGGTGGCAGAGTAGACGTACCAACAGCAGATCCTTGGGGATCTACTGGTTAGTTCCTTATAGCCAAAGTGACAATGGGTGCCGTACACAGCAGGATCCGTACCTGCCAGCATTTCTAATGGAAATGAGAGCAGCAGAAGTCCGGAGAAGCTACTGCACACAGGCTGCCTATCTGTACGCGTGCAGTTAATCAGACATCCTTGAACATACCAGACTTGCTGCAGGTGCATAGACGGATCTCCTTTGTATGTACTGGGCTCACCATATTCAGGATGCAGAATAAACTTGTGCAGAGAGGGCATTTGCCTGGGAATTTTCAAAGACGGTCACTAAAAGGTTTGGCAGCTGAGGTGGTAGCGCTGATGGGTGTGGATACCAGCCACGGTCCTGTGCTAAGAAGATAATTCTAGCTTTCCTCCTTGACTGGCATGGAAATGCCATAGGTGGTCAGGCTGTGCCTCGGGGACGGGGAAGAACAACCCCGGTTAAGAGGTTTAGTTGAATCAAAATGAGCTCTCTTCCTCCGTTACGAGCAAATGTCTTGGGTTCTGTGGCAACAGAGGCTCTGTTGGGAGGGGGAAGGCCGCCACGCAGAGCGATTAGAGCAATAGGTAAAGCACTGTTCTGGTATTCTGTATCAATGTTTTGCAGGCCTGGCAGTGGTCACACTTGATGCCTACAAGCACTGGATATTCCACAAGTTGAAGACGGAATACTGACTTGTTTACCTGAAGATAATAGGACTTCGGGGTATTTCCTCAGAGAAAATATAAATTTTAATATAATTTCATAAGCTTTGGAGGTTAGCTTGTCTTGTAGCTTCAGTGATATCAAACTTCTTCAAGTAGGAGCTAGATAGAAAGCTGTTTAGTTTTTGCCAGCGTATGTAAAACAAGACTTTTCTATCTGCATTGTAGATTGTTTGTGGACACTTCCAGATTCTTGTGCTTTCTGCAGTCATTCTGGGGACTGAACTCTCATTGATATCAGTAGAGGTTCCATGAACAGGACACATGCAGGATTTTGAGCGTAGAAGCCCACAGTGTGGTTTGGAGTAGTGAATTGCTTTTAGTTTGGAGATGACTGGGGGAGATGGGAAGAGCAACTGTACATTAAGGGAACAATTACAGATCTTCCCGGTGACATCAATGAGAGATTTGCCTTCAACCTTCCACAGAAGAAGATTTTTAGCTTTAATTTGGGACAGTAAAGGGGTTTTTCAAAAGCACTAAAAGCCAGTGGGAGCTTGTTCAGCTGCTCCTTATGCCTTTAAAAACCCCTACACCAAAAGTGATAGCTAACAACATGAAATGGAAGTAAATAAAATGCATTTTCATTGCTGTTTTGAGTTACATAATTCTTGTTTCTTGATTTGTTAGTTGATCTGAATTTACATGGATTTAATCTATATGGTAACCAAGAAAATGGTCAGTAACTGGTGAAGGTGCAAAGTATAGCCACAAAGCAAGCAATGTGTAGGTGTAGACCCTAAGCAGCTATCAAAGACAGGTAACAAAAGTTCACTGCCTACAGCCATGTCTTTTGTGTCCGCATCTACCAAGCTAGATGGCCATTTATTTCAGCATTTACCAGCAGATAACAAATGCTCCCAGCTTACTAGAAGGATAAACTCAAGGACAACTAGGACCCAGTCACAGATAAGAACTCACAGACATCAGTTAAACGTCACCCTACCTGCATGGAGCACTGAGCATGTTCCTACTGTTCTTCAGAATATCGGAGCAAGAACTACCTTAGCATTAGGTCAGTTTGTACAGGGCAGATTGCCCCTGGACGGTCGCATCCCTCGCTCAAGTCCTCTCTGGCAGTAGCTGCCATAAGAAATGCAGCGGAACAAGGATCTAACAGAGGGTTCCGATCTACTCAAATACAGCAAAAATGACTCCCTTCTGTATTCTCTAAATCAAGGCCACAAAGAGCCCTTACATCATCTGGTTTGATATCATGGTCAGGCTCTTAATTTCACCTAAGACTCCTACATAGAGCCTAGCAACTTGTATTGGGCTAAAGTATTTCCTCCAGAAATGATCTGTTAAATCAAAAAGGCATTAGAGTGATGGGGATTACGTCACTGGTCTGGTTAGGATTAACCAGTCTCACCATTAAAAATCCATGGCTTACTTTATTTGATTTTGTGTAGCTTCACCTTCCACCCGTTGGATGGATATTTGTATAACTTTCTCTGTTCAATTTAAGAACTTGTTAATATAAAGCATCTCCTCCCTGTAAAGGAATCCAATTGCCTCTTGATCTTCATTGTAAGCTGAACAGACTTGGCTGTAAGCCATTTTCTCCCTCCCTAAAGTCATTTTTTATGGCTTTTTACTGCACAATCTCTATTTTTTTCAACATCATTAAAAATGTGAACAGCGGAATAGTTTGCAAATTTTTAATTGATCTCACTGCCATATGCAGATATCAAAATCATAATCCTCCTTTTATTCATTACCCTGCTCTGCATGGGATGTGCCTGAGATGAGATAATTTAAAGAAAGAGACCGAAAAAGGAGAGAGAAGGAAGAGGACAAGAGGAGTGTGCAGTTACAGAGTTCACAATTAAAACCACATACACCAAGAAAAATCAAACACAAATGAACCCTACAAACCAAGACAATTAAATGCTCCAAACTCCCAAGTTTTGGGAACCCCAACAGCAACATTATGTGCTCTGTTGTTTAAGAAAAGACTTCAGCAGAGCCCTCCCTGTCCTGCAACTCTCTACACTGAAAGTATTACTAGGTTTTTGTGTTTTGAAATTCTGCAGTGGAGGTTTCTTGGGGAATTTGGGTTCCACAGTAACAAAGCGCTTTGCACATCTTCAGCCACAGACCCCAGAACAGGACCCAGTGGTGCTTCCTCTTGAGAAAAAAAAAAGCTTTTCTTGATAGTAGTGGAAATAACCACAGGTAGTCAAGGTTGTTCTCTTTAGCCAAAGAATTGCTATTTCCATCATATCAACAGCAGGTAGCAATGAATGGAGCTTGGCTTTGTTTCCTCTGCAAGCTGCAAGTCCTTCTCTTGTTTGACCAGATGGTACACAGCAGCTTCTTTCATTCTAGGGCTGCATCCTTTTTTTCTTCTTTGTTTTCAGCCAGATTTTTTCACCCTTTTAATGTGCATGTGCAATGCAAATACAGAGTTGAGAGCTAAATTAGGATAGGGATTTCTCCCTCCTTCATGCGATAAGGCACACTAGGCAACACACTGTCTCAGTACTGTTAGTTCACGCAGCAACATTAGCAGTGAATACTGTTCATTCCCAGGTACTGTCACGGGTACCTTTATCAAATCTTGATGTTACCATGCGTATCTTACGGGTTTGGGAGCTTTACAATATTTTCAAAGTCCATAAATGACAGAATCCAGTATAAAAAAAGGTCAATATATTACTGTTGAAAGGTTTTTTTTTTTCTTCCTTTTTTAATACAAAAATTAAAAAGATCAAAATATATCACATTATTTACATATTGTGCTTCATGCTTAGAGATCACTGGAAAAGAACACACAGACAAACATTTTAATCAAAGAGAAATGCTCCATTCATTACACTTACTAATCTTATTGTTAATATTATAAGGATTGGCATTCAGATTTCTTTTAATATTAACAGTGCATCCAAATGTCTTACCACAGAATTAAAAACTTTTATATGCTAAGGGCGTGCTCACATTCTAACCGAGGGTTTGCAACCAGTTAGTAACATGCTTGCTATTAACTCGAACTGTGTCCACAACCACGTGTTTCAAAGTGGGTTAGTAATTCCGCTCAGCTTCAGTGTCATACCCTTGTCGGAGAATGAGGTTACGGCATCCTCCTACAAGTCTGGATCAAATGCTCATCTTACGGCAGGACACGTCTCTCCTCATTCTCCTGGGCTGCCTTTAGCACTTACAACCCCTGGCTGTTCTGGGTGCGTGAGACAGTACGAATTACCTGACCACGTGCACCTTGATTTACTGATTCAAGCACTGAAGGAGCGTAGTGGTTGTGGATTATAATTACAATGGCAGAAAAGTCTTTGTTTGGAAATAAATGTTGTGTAACTCTGTGACAAAGAGGTAACCCACTGTAAGAGTCTCAGCTAGAGGGTATGGTCTAAGTCACAGAAGCGCATTTTGCAGAGCGGTGCAGTCTTTGCGTGAGTGGTTCCTAAACTGCCTGGGCCATAATAGAAGCCTAGCCTGAGCAAGCCTGAAAAAAGGCATTGCTACTGACAATATTAACAAGACTGATTTTCACGCTTAGCAAGTTTTTGGAGCAGTGTTCCTAGCACCAGTCTACAGCTGTGGGGAACAAGACACGAAGCGAGATGGAATCCTGCTCTCCCAAGGCATGGCGTTATGTCTGCCAGGCATATAACCTGTTGCTTAAAGGAAGTGCAGCAGCACAAACGATCGCCATGCGGCAAACAAAATTACTCAGGACCTGCTCAAGGATATACAATTATTATTATTATTACTGTACCTTATGCCAACATCCTGCTACTGGCAGTCCATCCGGTCCCTGCAAAATTGAATTTATAGATTTAATTTCTGTTGACAGTGACTTAAGTGTCTGACCCAAAAACCTGAAGCTCAATCTTCACAACGATGAAAGGTTTAGCAGCGCCGTTAATTACCATGCAAAACCCATTTACTGTATATGCACAAAAATAAATATGCAGGCAATGTAATCCGTGTGTCACGCACAACAGAAAATTGAATACATCCCAGGGTAAAAAAAAAAACAACCAAAAAACCCCCCAAAAACCTACACTTTCTTTTTCCTTTAAACAAAAAAGAAAATGTGAATAAATATAAAAATTTGGAACCACAGTTAAACAACTTTATAATCTGCTTTATAAGGTAGTGTTTTTTGCAATCAGACATATATATGGAAAGCATGATGTGGAAATGTATTTTTTGTTAATATGCGCTTTTCATTTTGGGGGTGGTGATGTAATTTTTTTTTTCCCCCCGGATGAAATCCTAATTGTGTTAAATTCGATCCTGCAGTACTTAGTTTCTTTAAGAAATCCTGAGTTGCTGAACTGATTGAAATAGGATGAGTTGTGGACTATGCAAAGGGAGTGAAAATATTCATCTTTTTTCTGATGGAGATACAAGAAACATACAGAAATCAGAAAGCCAGAAGAGCTTACTTACCAGGAGGAAAACACTGAAAAGGAAGGAGCCCCTTAGAAGAGGAATGGACTATGTATGACCAACTCTTTCAAGATACTTTAGAAGAAATAGCTGACTTCAGCTGCCTTTTCTGATGCTGGATTTTTTTAAGGCTCTTGGATCTCTGATTGCATGAATTTCTGCATGTAGAGCTACAGAGAGCACACATGCACTGACCCTTCCCTCAGAGCCACCTCCAAATTAACCAGGGGTGGGAAACCACGAGGATGCGTATGCAGCGGAGATAACTGCTAGTGCAAATATAGGTCAAAATGCATTTTTACGTTTTTTACTGTAAATGTCAGTCATCACATTTTTTGTATTCTGTATTGATTTTATATGTAAAATAGCCTATGCCCAATAAAACAGATGCAGTGAAGTAAGGTTACCCTCTCCAGCCACTCATAGTGTAAGAGGACTAGTTATTTTCACATGCTTTCCTATAACATTAGTTAGAAAACATACACATTTTTCTGCTGACACCAGTAAATATTTTGGTCCATAACTATTCATAAAAAAAAGTGCAACTTGTACATTTGCCAGAGTTGTCTGGGGGTGAATGGTAACGGGGACAAGGCGCAGAGCAGTTGTTTGACCTAGAAAGATCCTGACCTGCTGTTAAAGTGCATCCTGACACCGGCAGTCACGGCACTGATTCCTGCCCTGGGCTTTTTCTCCTTCCCGTGCACTCAAAATACTTATATTTTGGCCATCATAAAACTCCATGCCTTTCCACCATGTTTCACTCGAATGATTCCAAAACGACTTGTCGACTTAAAAAGAGCTTTGCAACCTGCACCTAAGGCTCATGCTCATGCTGCTGGACTGAAAGCCATCGCCGAGAACCCAGCAAGCCTCCACCGCACGGTGGGGTGGAGAATGAAGACAACACTCCCAGCCAACATGCAACTAACCCTCACATACATAAGCAGGAAGATGTGCAAGTGCTTTACTAACTAGTCATGTAGTAGTTACGTATTGGAGAAATCACCTACTGCAGTTTACAGTGCCTTCAATACACATAGGTCTTGTGTTTTCTATATAGTTAAGATGGGAAATAGTTGGTAAATACAGCATTTCTAGGGAGTAAATACAAACAGTTGAAGCGGGCCTGCTGCTAGTAATTGGTTTCTTTGACACATATGAAAGTAATTTAACTTTTTGAAAGAGAGACAGCTTACTGGCCTTTTGTTTCTCTGAAGACAACTGCAAATCATCTAGCACGCAGCATTTTCTATGGTTAAAAAAAGGAAAATAAAACAATGACCTTTTTTAGCTAGTTGCGCAGTGCCCTGTCAGGGAGCAGAGCACGAACCGTCCTGCATAGCCGTCCTTCAACCTGAGCTCTGCGAGGCAGAGCTGCGTGCTGACACAGCAAATGCCCTCCTAATGCCCAGAGTGCCAGTGACCCCCTCCAGCCACCGCTCTGCGGAATTGGCTGTTCCTTTGGGGAAAGCCTTTCAAAACCCAGACTCACAGGGCTGCAGCAGCACAGGCACGAGGGGAACCGAACTGGGCCATAGGTGCTGAGAGAAACTAGAACTAATTTTTAGCATCTGTTACCATAAAGGGGCAAGCATCCCTTACGTGATCTCTCATTGCTTACACTCCTTATCTGAAGTCATTTTAACTGTGGGAAGAAGGCACAACACACCGGCATCCTTCCCCAACTGCCAAAGTGAAACATCTTGTTCCAGCTCTGCTGCCTTGTGTCCTTCCTCTCCCCGGAGGGATTCGCTCCTCGGGACAGGAGTTGGCCACAGCAGAAACACACGCAAGCCATGCAAGAAAGAAAGAGAGCAGATACTGTACCAAAGGGCAGGGCACGCTCACCCCGTCCAGGCCTGGTAAACCTGGGTCCCTTTTGCTGCCTGCAATGCTACGATCTCCCTGTTTGAAAAAATAACTGCTTGTTGAGAATGATAAAGGACATGGGAGTTACTCAAACAGACACCCGTGTTTCAGCGGAGGAGGACGGGTCCAGAACTTTACACCTCCCTTTCTGATGATACAGCAAGTCAGCAGAGTGGTTTTACAGTAGGGAATTCACAGACACGTAGAGTCTGTCATCTGGGAAAGATCTTCTATACACAAACCAGAGATTCACGTTTGTAATGGCGCAGTGAAAAAGATGAGGGTTAAATCATCCAGCATGTTGAGCGAGGAAAGGCGATCATCAGAAACAAAAAAATTAATTGTAGTTCACATTCAATCTCAAGCAAAATAAAGCATATTGACTGAAGAAGCTTTTTGCTGGTATTGGGGAGCTATACAACAGCTTTGATTGCCATAGTTGTGCTGGTGGGGCAAGAAAGTGTCACACATGTAGAAAAGAAATGGGTTTTTTTAGTACCTGGCACTACTAGTTAGGTGCAGCTGAAGTAGGGGCTAACAGCTACATTTAAGTAGTTTTAGTTCAGTAGTTGATACGAATCGCTCTTTCATCCTGCAGCCTCAAAGCGTTTTACGGAAAGGATCTCTCTGGTTTTAGTCATTATATGAAAAATAGTAATGAAAAGGAGGTATATTTTACCAGGCCAGATAACTTCTTATAAACCAGTACAGATTTTCTTTTTCTGGGCCCTAGCAAAGGAATGGGAGGTTCTGGAAGAGAACTTTGGAGATCTACCTTCCTCAGGTTCAAACCCCCAGGAGGTTTCCTGGAAGGCCTCTCCGTGTACACGCTGTACGGCGGTGGCCCAGGACGTATCCGAGAAGGGACAGATCTGAGCCGCGAGCTGCTATCTCGTGCAGAGAAACACGGGGAGGTCTCTTCTCCCAGAGGCACTTCTTGGCAGCCCGGGGAGCTCCAGCTCATATACGTCACTTATCTTTGGCAGTACTAAGATGCTATCAACCCCGACCCGCTTCCCCAGGCGGGAGAGCTAGAGCCGGGCTCATCCCTCGCTCGGTTTGTGGTGGTGAAGGGATGGAGCTGACCTTGTCTTCAAATCTCCTCCCATCCACTGCATCCACTTACTCCCCGATTTCAAACGTACTCGAAAGCCAGGCCGGCAGCTTCACCAGGGCACACTATCACCCAAAGAGCGTTACTGAAGCTCATTGTTCTCGACTACAATAAGAAGGTCTTTACACAAAGATTCTTTATTTTTACTGCTGTGGCTTGCTCCCATCTGGCCAGAGAGGAGCCCTTACAGCGAGCAGTGAACTTCCAGCAGTGCAGATAAAACAAACCATTAAGAAAAGTGAGAAAACAATAACCATCTGCTCTGATTTACTGCAAAATAAAGAACTACCAAATCCTCCCTCCCTTTCCCTGGCTGCAAAGCCGCGTCCCCTTTCAGTCCCGGCAACGCGTGCTCAGGATGAGTGAAATAAGAGACATACCACAGGACAAGGCTGATCCAGTCCGGGAGGGCCTGGTTCCCCCTTCTGCCCTTTGGCTCCTTTTCTCCCCGGTATTCCTCGCTCACCCTGTTGATGCAACAGGAAAATATCAGGAACAGGAGGGGTGACACCTCGGTTTTAACTCGCATAGCACTTGCAGAGTCCCACACCTCACCCAGAGTAGGGACAGTTGCACTAGTGTAACCTCAACTGAGTAGTTAAATCACTGTGAAAGTCTTCAGATAAAGCTGTGTGGAGATATTTGAATAGATAATTTTATAACAGAATGACTAAATGACTGGCTTCTGCTAGAAACCAGGTTGGTATCTGACAGTAAGTGGGAGCACCAGCTTCCAGCCACTGCCCTGCGCTCAGCTGGGCTCCTGCCTCCGGCTGGGCACCCCTTTATTTAAGCATCCCTGTAACAAAACGTTTGACTTGGATCATTTTCAAGGTCTATAAACCAAAACTAGCAGTTCTTTGCAACCTGGAGCTGTCAAGGCTGCTCCATTTCCCCCACAATGGTTGTGCCAGGGATATGGGGGGGACAGGCTTGCAGAAAGCACTTCCAAGTGGGTAGGAATTAACTGAATGTCCTGCCCTATACTGGGACCACACAAATACTTGTGCCACAGAAAAGGCCTTACAGCAATGACCCGAGAGCCTGGAGGGGGAACCAGCACCCAGGGCAAGCATCGCTGCCTGCCGAAAAGAGTGGCCAGTCCTGCCCCCACCCTGCTCGCCCCACGAGCGTCTCTACAGCCATAACCCACTCACCTTCTCCCCTCTTTCACTCCTCTCTCCTTTCTCTCCTCTGAGACCTGGGAAACCCTATCATGACAATTTTTAGGTGGAAAAAAAAAAAGAGGTTTGTAAGTTCAGTATGTGAACATCCTGGCATCTCAGTTCAACATAAGCAATCTCCAGTGATCAACCCGTCCTCCCATGGTGAAGAATATGACATTTTCTTCCTTGTTCACTTGGTATCTCAGCAATTTCTTGGGAAAGCTAGTGCTTTACCTACCCCAGCAACGTTACATCTATTGGAGATTCTTGTTTCACTGAATCCAGTACAAACATTCTCAATTGGAAAAGGAAACCCCCATGGCACCTTTAGCTGAGCAGCGATACACGGTGTGGCACAGTCACTGCTGTGCAGCGGAACTGGTCTGGCAACTGGCCTGAATGAAGCCCTTTCCTATAGACACAGTTCCACGGGCACTGTGTTTAAGGGAGAGCAGTCTATACAGGGTTAGCTACATATTTTTCCGACAATCTCAAGCAATTTGATGGCCTTTACGTACATGTTATTCATGTTTCTACGTATCGCAATTAATGTTCTCCATACTTACATCCAATCCTGGCTCCCCTGGCTTTCCCTGCAGTTGTAAAAACAAAAACGAAGACATGCCGTATTGAGCTTGGTGTTGCAGGCAAGCTTATATCCAATTTGGTGAAATACTATGGTAGTGACAGCACAGGCTCGCCCAACGGCCCCTGGGACTCAAGGCAGCTCCTCACCACGCATTGGGATAGTGCCGGTAAGCCCGGCTCTGCAGTTCTGGCTGGACCCACCGCGGCAGGGATTTTATCAGCCCCTATTTTAGGATTACACCACAACGTCACCGCTCCTTTCCCACACTGATTACCTTCTCTCCTTTGGTACCGGGTAAACCGATGAGCCCTGGAGCACCGGGGAGACCCTTAAGGAAAAAAGAAACAAGGCATTGGGATAGTTGCTGTAAGGTGGGTTTCTGTCGATGGCCAGAAGTGAGATACAGGAAAACAACTCACAGCGGGTCCAGCGTCACCGTGGTCCCCCTTCTCACCGCTGTCACCTTTTTCTCCCTTTGCACCGTCCAAGCCCTGCATAAATGAAACGGCATCAACCAAGACGACCTGGCAGCTCTGCCTGGGGCAGCCACCCTGCGTATCCGCCCGCCTCCTCCCACATCTCTGGGATGCTTATACCCACGCTGCCATTAACGTTTTCCTTTTGACCAGATCATATAAGAAATAGTGGAAAATAAAGGTTTAAGCCTGCAGGTTTGGAAACCCTGACTCGCATGTGCCGCCGGCCCTCAGGCCTCCATGCTGGAGGAGGATTTAAGATCATAAATCTGTTTGGAAGGAAAAATGGCTTGTTTTCCAAAACACCAACTGCTGAACAGCACAACCAAGGGATGTGTTGTCACAAACAGTGACAAAAAAAATCAGTCCCCAGAGCTGACAGGCCTTTGCGAGCCTGTAAATAATGCACTGGCAGCCTGGAAACAGTGGGTGACATTTAATTTATTGACTTACTTTAGGCCCCTGGATTCCTGGAGGACCCTGCAGGAAAGACAGTGGTGCATTTGAATAAACAGAATTTAAAAACAAACCCCAAAGTTTGCTTCCCAAACCATTTCTTGCTCAAATTATGGGCTGACAACGGCCAAATATTTCTTTTCAAGACAGGTGGCAGTTTATTTGGTTCTCTGATGTCAAATCAGGGGGAAGAGGAACTGAAAAGGACCGCTTTGCGTAACATGCAACAATAAAGCTCTGCAACACGAGCTCTGGGAAGCGAGAGCCCTGCAAGAGCTTTGCTGAAGCAAGTGACAGCAAAAGCTCTGGAGGGCAGCACCCTGCCACCACGGCCCTCCGAGCCCGGGCAGGGCTGGGGACACTTCCCGGGTTATAAAGGCCGCCTGGAAAGCCGGCTGGCTTTGAAGCGCGGTCTCTCAAGGTGCATCTTGGACACAGCAGAGGCATTCTGACCTTCCTGATGCCCTTGACAGCTCCTCAGCCTTTTGGAGCATCGTAGGTACCGAACACCTTAGATATCCGCATCAAAAACATTCCGCATGTTCATCGCCGCCCGCATCCTCTCCCACTGCAGCTGATGGCAAAAAACTTAATGACTTGGGCAAATTTGTGGGAATACAGACACCATCACGGGGGGAACAGGTTTTCCCATGCCACAAGGTTTTATCTTTTCCCCATTCCAAGGAACCACTTCGTTATTTGCAAAATGTTCCACAAACGCTAATGTACTCTCCTAAATCAGGTGCTTCCATCTCTGCGAAAACAGCACCCAACGCTGTAGCTCTTCCCTGATTTTTTTTCCCAGATTCGCAGCAGCCCACGATGATTAAACAGAGCAAACCACCCTCATCCTTAACTAATCACATGCGATAACAAATCGGCAGCAACGCTCAATTGCACGAGCCGCTTTCCAGAGTCCTACCATAGGGCCAGGTAATCCGGGGGGTCCAGGCTCAGGTATGATCTGCAGAAGGGAATTAAATCGCACGTTAACGGGGCTGGGCACAGAGAGAAGACAGTTTGGGAATGGAAACCTCACACAGCCCAGAATCATGATTTAATGCCCTCTGATTTAATGGCTTTGATCAAAATATCTGCTAATCAAAGAGTTGGCTTGTAGGATTTATAAATAAATGAATCTTAATAAGCACATGAATCAAGGTAGCCTCTGAAATGACAGACGTGACCCACGCTACTCAGCGTATTTGCCAGTCGCAAAATGGATGTATTGGAAAATGATGCAATTTTCCACACAGACCGGAGGAAACCAGCCTTTTTGATGGGAAAAAACCAAACAAAACCAGAACAAAATTAGAGCTCCCATGTCATTAATAAAAAACCTATCAAAACCCACCACTTTTTCTTCTAAGCAAAAGGCATGAATAAGGAAAAAAGGATGCAGAAATCCTATAAAACTGCAAGGAGCCCAATATGTTTTTAGAACAAAACACGATTATAACAGCAGCATCCAATATCTCAACCATCAATGCAAAATCTAAAGTAATTTTGTAGTGCCAAGTGTGCAAAATGTTCTTCCCTAACAAATAAACCCCATTTAGATGCATCTGAAAATTTTTGTAGCAAACAGTTGGGTTTTGCTCCCCTCCGCTACGCTGACGGATACGGAACCAGTGGCTCCAGCCTGCACACCCCAATTTTGCCTGACCCCGTGTCACGGAAGAGGCTTTATGTTGCCAAGATCTTACATGATTATTCTGCAAACACGGCGACCCGGTGTCTCCTTTTTCTCCTTTGTCTCCTTTTGGCCCTTCTGCTCCCTAAAAGATAAAAGTCTAACGCTGATGTGGTGCATCTTCCAGGAAAGCAAAAACAAGAGAAAAATACATTTGTCTTCCTCTAAAATCCAGCCTTGGCTCAAGCAAAGCTCTTGTTCGTCCCTGCGGGACTGCTTGAAAAAAGGAGATTTTCTCCTTGCTACTGGCTTAGATGACCTTCTGAATGAGCCGTTACCATCATCATTAGCAAAGAAAACTCAAAGCTCCCGCATCCTCCAGCTCCACAGTAACGTGGTGTAGACAGGCCATTGCTTAGATCAGCAAACCTGGCCGTGTACCGAGCATCTGCAGAAATCAGTGCATTAAAGAACCAAGCAGCAGATGTGCAGGGACGGAAAGAGGGACGTACCGGTGGACCCGATAAGCCCATTTCTCCTGTCTCTCCTTTCTGTCCCGTGATCCCTGCGCTGCCCTGGTCACCCTTCGCTCCTTTGGGACCCTGGAAGTTCACAGAAAACAACGTGGTTAGGAGAAAACTGTTAACCCCCCCCCCAACAGCCATTTCTGCCTTGCTGTTGTTTCATCTCCATATTGCAGCTCACGAAAACATGTTTTAACGTTAAAACTTACGTACACCTATTTTGCAGGCGCAGCAGAATTTGGCTGGGCCGTAGCAGGGGTTGCAGCCATTTAGGGTTGGGAAGGTTTACAACAGAATTTGAGACAATTTCTGATGAGCCACTTGTAAAAGAAGCCCCTTCAGCCCGGCAGACATGGCCACGAGCAGCATCTGCATGCTCATGGCTGAGCGCAGGGCTGTGAGCAATGGGCGATTAATTCAAAGAGATGCAGCTGAACATTATGGGGCAGAGCTTGCTCCTGGCAGGCTGAGATTTGCTTTTCACAGTGGCAGCTCTCACAGACACACGGTAAACTCCTTTTTGACTCGGATCCTGCAAGGTCTTGCTTGATCCAGCCATGCCCCACGCACCTTTTCACCGTCCAGTCCAGGTGGACCCGGCAAGCCCAGCTCTCCCTGAAGTGACACAAAGAAAGGGGAGCCAATGGTAAGTAAAATCAAGAAATCAACTCAGGAAGGCATTTTGCAAGGAAATGAGTTAATCATGTGTATCAACCGTTGTGGTTATGGGTTTGGCATTGCTAGGCTCAGGAGCAGCAGCAAGGAGGTTTCAAGTGATGTGGCAGCATTACCGGCTCATCCAAATTTGGGGGACACGGAGACCTCGAGAGGCACCGAAATCCTGCCCCATCCCATTTTCTTCCAAGAGATGCTTTCCTGCAAGTTGAAGTCTTCTTTTAAAGAGACTACAGCTGACTGTAGGTTACTGGCTATTGCTTGTGAAGCGGGAGGACAGTGCGGTCCCGCTTGGACACGGTGCCGGGGCAGCAAGAAGCACACGGGGAGGGCGGGATGGAGGGCAGCTTGGCACAGCTTTTGGGACCACCGCCCCCTCCTCACAACTTCTTCTCCCATTTACTTCTGCCTCCCGCAATGAGGAAATCTCGGAGGGGCCGGGATTTCATCCGTCAGGTATAGGATTGGGAGTGGATTCGTTTTTGGGACAGCATCCTCTGGAAGAGGCTGGAGACCAAAGAAAAGCCAACAAAACTTTGGCTTTTGTGCAAAAACCTCCTTTCTTAGCCCAAGGAAGTGTTAAACAGCATCTCCTTTACCATGCGTAGTCTCGAGCCCTGCAGCCAGCATCGCCTGCCTTATTTTGGCTTGGGAGACACTTGCTACGTGGAGAGCCGCTAACGACCACATCGCTCGCTAGGAAACACCGTCTGCATGGCAGAGTTCAGGCTCACCTTGGGACCTGGAGCGCCTTGGGGGCCCGGTGGCCCTGGGGGACCTGGCGAACCCTGAAACACAGCAAACAAACCGGGCATGAGCATGACTAATACGAATATGGCACACTATCCTTGCGCTGCTGGGGATGAGCTGGGAGCAGGTCCCAGCCACGATCTACAACCGACACTCGTGTGACCGGGGTTGCCCAAACACCACGATGAGCTCAGCTGAGTGACCCGAGGGCCCCTCCAGCACAGGGGATGTTCATGCAAAAGAAAACACGACCGGAGCTAGCCGGGTGTACAGGCTGCAGCAGTACGTGTGTTAAGAGGCAAAATGCCTTTAGCCAGAGGTGTGGCCCCAAACCTGGTGGTCTCTTTTTGCATTCTCCCCCCTCCAGCCAGCTGGGCTGGGAGAGGCAGTCCTGCTGACAACAGTGACAACCAGCCACGTTTTAAAGAGGGGAAACGAAGGAGTTTGTGTGAGCACTAACAGCAGGAAAACCTTGCACACTTAAGCAAGCTATTTTTCCTGGGCACTGCTGGGTGCAGAGACCGTGAACCGCCTTGAGATGAACAAATATTTTGCAACTTGCAAATTATCTCAAACAGCAAAACTCATGGTCTTGCTCAGCTGAAAAACAAAACCGGACCACATCCCCAAGCACCTTTTTCCATGACTGCATGCTCAAATACTGTTACATGTAATTACACTGGAAGCCGTGTAAAGCCACCCCTTTCCAAAGCTCTGTCGATGAGACAGGTCAGTGAGCAAACACCAAAAACAGCTAATAAGCAGGAAAATGGCAAAGTTAGCGAGGTTCGGTGACGCGCCCCTCAGCAATCTCCACATGCAGCACGCGGGAGAGGGTCTGGGCCCAGCAGATGAAGTCTCCAGACATTTGATGGAGCCTCTCCAACCACTGCACTCCACAAACTCCACTCAAAGCTGCATGCCGTGCAGACATCTGGCAAACGGTAATTACCATCACTTTGTGTATCCCTGCAGCCTGTCATAAAACAATTAGGATGGTTCTCAAATATGTCTGTAATTAAGTATTTATTCTATTCAGCTTCTTTCATCTTAACAAAAATGGCAGGGTACTGCTCGGTCGGGCAGATTAGGGCTCGGGCACTGCTTCCACTCCTCCCGCATCCCAACCGCTGCTTGCAGAGAAAACCGCTCCGGAGGATGCGCAGTGAAAACCGCAGCTCTGCACCACGCCCTGGGAATAACACCCGGCAGCTGCCTGTGTTTATTTGGCTGCTCCCACTCGTCGCATCAGGTGTTTATATGTCACAGGCTGCGTCAGGTTGCTTCTACCTGCAGAATATTAACTCACATCCCACAGCCGGATCCCACGAGCCTGGTACCCAGCCCGAGTTCAACAGCCTCGAGTTTTGCTGCTACATCCTAAATATCCTCAGCCCCCAGATGCAATAAGCTCTTCCCCCCCGGCCAGCTCTGTGCTGAGACCGAGATCTCGGGAAGGAGAAGTAGGACAGGGACAGACACAGTGCCACAGTGTCACTGTGGCAGAGCTCGGCAGTTTTTCCGTCCTTTCCCGTTAACCCGCAGGAATCGGCATGACCTCGGTGCGGGGCTTACCTTGAGCGCATCCAGGATTCGGCCGTCATAGTCGATCACTACGGTGTCGCCCTGTTCCCCTTTCAGGCCGGGGGGACCCTGCAACCGGGGACGAATCCTATTTAGTTTTTGCAGCATCTGAGAGGCAGGCGCTATGAAAGCAAAGACCTGACGCCCAGCCGTTTGGGGATTAGCACCTCACAAACACCATCGATTTAATCAATTCCTAGTCTGACAGCTGTAACCGTCATCCAACCAAACCTCAAAAGGGCACATATTTGTGTAACGGAGAAGTGCATAGAAATCCTCACTTGATTACACCTATTCACAGCTTCCCTCTTGCAAAAAAGGGGTCACAGGCTGGTCACATTGGTAAGAAAATTGGACTTGACTGTATTTCCCAGAGCTACCTCCCGTGGCAGCGTTCGGTACCTGCATCATGATTTGTTTAAATATGCACCATCTCTATTTTCTAGCGCTGAGCTGATCCTGAAGCGCTTCAACCACATACTAAGCAGAAAGAGGTGGTGGGGAACAGCTCAGGTCGAGGCAAATACGCGACTCCAAACTGAAAAAGCAAAACCCTGAACATCCATACCCGGGGTCCGATGGAGCCAATTCCTCCCTTCTCACCAGGTTCACCCTGAAAATCAAAATCACATTTTTGGTTCAAAGAGACCAAAGAAAATACAGGATATTTATCTTAGAAATACTGTAAATACATGAGATGCCAAGATGTATTTTAGATTAAGAAAAGGTACAGCACCAAGAAGGAACTGCTTCTCCCAACAAAAAGATAGATTTGACTTCAGAGCAAATATATTTTACAGAAGATAATGTTGGTGTGGGCTAGTTGACGGTAAGAAAACTTCTCATTGCGGAGGGAGCGGAGCGGGGCTGAGCTCCCCGCAGCGGCGATGTGCCGTCCCGCTCTCCGGCTCTGCTGTCTGCTCCGAGCGTGCCAAGCTCCAGCTCTTTGTGCTGAAGTTTCACGTGGCTCTCTCTTTGCTTTAGGCTGAATTTTGCGTGTGGAAAGTTTCAGCCGACACATTTAAACCATTTCTGAGGGTGAGTTTAAGGAAAAGGGTTGTGCCAAATTTTTTTTTTTTTCCCCTTTTTTTTTTTTGCCCCCTTTTTTTGAAAGTTGGGAAGTTTTGGAAAGCCATAGCACTCCCACAGCAGTGACCTGAAATTCCGTTCAGGATTCAAAAAATGCACCTTTTGCCATACCCAGGGAGATCCATTTGCTGGCCAAATTAAAGCCCTCCAAAAAGTAAAAAATGGTATAAATGCAAAGGCTCTCCATAGGAAAACTCAATTCAGCGGATCCCAGGGGGAACAAACCAGCACTGCTACTGTGGTTTTAGAAAAAAAAAATAATGGCTAAGGGTCACCTGAGCCCACGTTTCTTCATCATATAGAGATTCTTGCCCAACAAGGAGCCACGACTGTTTGATACACAAAACACGACTGGATACAGATCCTACTAAATAAGAAGCAGCTGAGGGTGGAAATAACAGTCCATGAATGCTGTCCGGGTCTCATCATCACCACTTAACATATCAAGACTGTCTTATTGCATTTCTTGGCAGTTACGAAGGTCAGCGGAACAGGACGGCACGTAAGTGCTCGGGGCTTTGAAGCGATACTGCAGCCATCAATACATGGGATCAAAATGTGATCAGAGGTTTAGCTCTCTTGGGGAAAAAGAGGCAATTCAATGAAAAACATGCAAGGAGACGATTCTAAAAACTCTTATACCGATCGCTGCTTGATTCCAGCTTTCATTACATCACCAGGAAAAGGTAAAATACTTCTTAACATCCCCCTGCTTTGTTTCAGTTTGGGCATTTTATGAGCCTTTTAGAAGGCGAAGGCCTAAAATACCTACTCAGCTGAAACCCTCTGCCTCAGTAGCGCTGTGCCCAGCTTCCCGGCTAATGGACTTTTATTTACCTTGGGTCCTGGGAAGCCATCTGTGCCGTTCTCTCCCTTGGGACCCGCGCTTCCTTTTTCTCCCTGAAAACAAGACAATTTCGACAAATGCTATACGGGTAGGATGGAGAACAGATTTCTTCAGGTTATGATTTCCTTGCTTTATCTTTACTTTTACATACATGAGTGAGCAAAGCTCTGCTTTTAGCCCGAAGTACATCACGTTGCCTAGGTGCAAAGGGGAGTTTTTGAGATAAAAATGAAGCTTTCAGGCTTAACACTTTGGCTGCGGGTGGTATGTTCAGCCGTAAAGTTAGCCCCAAAACCGCAGCACCTGGAGAAGGCTCCCGTGGAGAGCCCGCTGCACCCTGATCTGGGGAGTGCAAACCCACAGCTTGAACCCCAGCTGCAGGCCACCCCCAGCAACACCCCCCAATTTACTTCTGCCAGAGGAGCCTCTAAATGGCAATTCTCTGCCACAGTCAACAAGTTGCGTTTGCAAACTTCTGGGCAGAGCTACCGTGGCAGAGGGGTGGGGTTATGCTTCTCTTTCTCATTTTTATTGTTCTTTTTCCATGTCAGGGGAGAAATGTGCTTCTCAACCTGCCCCAGCTGTGATACTGTGCCAAGAAACCAGATAGCAAAAGATGCTGCCAAGCACATACATTAGATGGACACAGAGCAGAACATACCTTAGGGCCCATAAGTCCTGGTTCCCCAGGGATCCCATCATCACCCTGATGAAATAAAATATAAAAAGTGAAATACAAAGAGCTTGTACACACTTATCATTAGGACCCAACATGTCACTTGACCCCACTGAGCGTCGCACAGACCTAAGACCCACTCAGGTTTGCAGGAGGCTCGGGAAAGATGCAGCAAGGAGCCCAGGAGGCTCCAGCATGGTCCTCTGCTCCCACCCAGCTCTGCCTCCCCTGCCCCATCCCGGGGCAGTGGGTGGGCATCTCCCAGAATTTGCTTATAGCAGGCCCTGGGGAAGGTGCTCTCCCACCTTTAATAGAAATTAGATATTTAATCCATTTAGGCTTTTTGGGTCCCAAAGACCTCCTGCAAGCTGCCACCCATCCTCACGGACTTCACCACAAGTCACCAGCACACCCATCTGCCGGGAGATTTTCTTGTTTCACTTGTCATGTTTCATTGTTCTCCTGGAGTAAAACCACTTCATAGGTGCTGAAGAGGTTAATTTTACTGGCCAGTTATGAAATTTTTAAGCCAAATGCTGGCCTGAAAAACACCCATGGCCACGTCTGTTTTGGGGCAAAGCAGTAAGAGGGAAAGGCTGGGCCCCGTCAACGCTTTGGCGTCAGCTAAAGGCAGTGATTTATCCACTACTTGATGGCACCACAAGAAGAAAACGTGGAAAGCTTGGACACGTGAATCTCCCGCAGCCTTCGACGCCTGACCCAAGCAGCATGCCTGTCCTTAAGAGAGTGGGCAATCCCCGCAAGACCGAGGTGCTGCGTGGCAATGCCCATCTTGGGAACCTCAAACCCAGCACAGGGGCCCGTGGGCAGGTAACAGCCTCCAGGCGCTTCTCGGTTCAGCTCGAATTATTGGAGTGAAAGGGCTCAGGACCTACTGATTTGTCTGGCATTTGCTATTTTATTCTTTGTCTATTGGGCAGATGCGATTGCAGCTTCTAGCTTGTTTGTGGTAATGAAAACCAGGCTGCAGGCACAGCCGTGCCTGGGCTTCGGGGTTGCATGTGCGAGAAACCCCGGGCAAAACAAGGAAGGGCTCGGTATGGACAGCCACAGCTTCTCCATCGGTCTCTGGCAATGGTTGGTGTAGTCAAGCACCAAGCAAAGCAAAGCAAAGCAAAGCAAAAAAAAAAAAAAAAAAATCACCATTTTACCTTTTTCCCTTGGATGCCAGGCTCACCCTTCAACAGCAACACACACAGAGAAGAAAGAAGTTTAAGGACATAACAGAAAATAAGATCAATTGTACGGACACTCAAAATTAATTAAGTTAAAATACTCAGCTTGCGTTGATCTTTATCCCCCCCAAACGCAAGAAAGCACATTCCCACAGCACACCAGCTTCCAGCCCCCCGTGGCTCCCTCCACCCCAATTGCAAGGTTTTAACATGGGCAGTGGTTGTGCTTTTTGTGTGGGTGACACGTTCAGACAGACATCTGCAGCTCCAAGTCAATGGCTAATTTGATACCTTAGAAATTCTGTATCTGAGTAATACAGATGAGTACCAGTCCAGTGCAAAACACGTATGGTCATCTCCACCCCCCTTATGCAGCAATATTTCAAGAATTCATGTTAAAATCAGACAGATAAGAAACTCCTTATTACCCACCTTTGGTCCTGAAGGTCCCCTGGCACCCTGTTGAATGTAAGAGTAGTTGATATACTTGTTTGACAATAGAGTATAACAGGATAGAAACATTTCCAAGAGTACTTTAATTCCCATTAAAAAAAAATGACACAGATGCCATCTTCCATTACAAATACAGCCGTAAGTTCTCTGTACTCCCAGTAAATAATAAATAAAAAAGCACCTTTTTATCCAACCTAGACCTTAGTGAGTTGGAGTTACAATGCCAGGAGGCTTCAGAGGGGCAGAAGTGGGGATACAGGAGCAGCACATCCCTCCAGAGGAGCCAAGGGGACAAAGACTGGCCTCTTTTCTCCCCAGGGCACAGGTACCCCTGGACAAACATCCATTTTAGGGCATCTATTATTTCCCATGGGTTTTTTTTTGGCCTCCATAAGCAACGACACAAAACCACTTGCTGCAGCGAGCTGAAGGGTGATGTAAAGCGAGGGGGGCGAGGGGCACGCACACACGGATGCTTCCGGGCAATACTAACCACGAGGCCATCCTCTCCCGGCTCGCCTTTGAAACCCTGCAAAAATAAAAAGGCCAACATTGAAACTATTATCCCTCATTCTCCAAAACGCTCAGCAATAATTCGGATGTTCAGTGGCATTGCGTTGCAGCCTATTTTTTTATTAAATGAATTGCCAGTGATCTGGAGGTTTGCAACAGGTCATCTGAAGGCTACAGATCAGGGAAGAGATCTCCTCCGGGCTCTCTGAGTTGCGACCAGCACCCGCAAATACATGCTTCAGGTCCAGCTCTTTGCTCCAAAACTGAAGATGGAAGGTCCCCTCCTGCTCCCTTGGCCCCATGCCCCAAAGCTTTGCTGTGTGAGCGGCCATCAGAGGCCAAATGCCGGCCCAGGCTGGGGACCCAGTGGTTGGGGTGGCAGCACTGGGGAAGGGGACACCCTTCACCCTCCTCTCCCTCGCTGGGCTGGGGACTGCCCGGCACGTGCTCGCTGTGCATCTCCCGTCCTTACAGGGAGGCCTGGAAGTCCTCTTGGGCCATCTTTTCCCGTGTCACCAGGAGGCCCCCGGGCACCTGGGGGTCCTGGCGGACCAGGGGGGCCAGTGGCTCCATCTTGACCTTGATCGCCCTGGAAGAAGTTCACACAGAGATGGTGAGATGAAGCAGCGGTGGCAAGCGGTGGCCGCGGGGTGCCCGTGACGCATGCACTGCATCCCTGGGCCATCAGCACCCTGGCCTCCACTGTCCCAGAGGAATTTAATTACAGCTGCCAATTGGGAAGGCTGGGAGCTCAGGGCTGCTTCACACCCTTTGGGTCTGGTTCCTTAACCAGGTTTTTGCTCAATGCCTTCCAACGAGGTTTTATCTCATTAAGCCCTTGCCCAGCGATTGTCTGCATGGAAACCACCAATTCGACAGCACCCAGAAATAAGCCAGACCCAACAACATGCTGGCACGGAGCATGCACACACTTCCATCGCTTAGTGCACCACACCAAAAAAAACCACAAAAAAAAGTAGTGCTTAGTATTATCCTTTAAATACCAGCTAAGGTCATATATCAACATCCAGTGTAGCTCGCACCTGGCATTGCTTGGATGCAAAGAAAAAAGCAGCAGCTGTATCTCCATGTGATTGTGAAGGTTTGGTAGGTGCCCGCTCCGGAGGGGAGGACCCCACGGGGCTTCGCCGCCCAGTTACCGACTCCTGACCCACCGCCGGCTGCCGCAGCCCAGCCCCGGGGCTGTGGCCGGGCTCATCCGTGTGGCTGCACAATGGAAGGCCTCACAGAAAGGCCGTCTCGTAAATCTTTTAGCAACATCTGGAAGGGTTACCACCGAGGCAGAATGAGGACTGTATTTAATATGTGGTCCACCCTCAAATCAGGGACAAGTGTGGGATTTTCAGAAGTCCTTAAGTGACTTAGCAGCACAAATCCCACGGCCTTTCAACAAGATCTGTGCTCCTAAATCACTTGCATAGTTTAAGAAAAAAAAAATCCTATTGCAAATGCTGAACACGGCATCCAATTATGTCAAGTCAAGAGTCTCCCACTGAATTTTGCCTAATTAAAATGTCACGTTTGGAGTACGAGGATTTAGACAACTCCAGTTTTAATGCATTTTATTTTACAATGCCAGCACTGTTCATATGAACATTTATAGGACTTTGCTGCTTGATTCCCAGTTCTCACAAAGGACCAAACACTCAAATCCATCACTTTTATGTCTCTCTGCTTTGACAAAACGCCCCCTAAATTCCAATGGGGTTTCACTCAAGCGTGCTCCCAACAAGCACCACTGAACATAGCCACAGTAGTGACGATTTAAAATAGCCACAGTGCACTTTCAGCCAGAGAGAAGAAACAAAAGCAACTCAAAGAATCACAGCAAACCAGAGGCAGCAGATCCGATATGTCTACCTTGAGCACTCGCCGGCTAAAGACAAGCTGATCGTTAGCCAGAAATCCGTGATTGAGCCGGGGAAAAACCATCTAGTCAGGTAAAGTGGGAAGCAGAGGAAAAAAGAGCAAGAATTTAAGATGAAAGCACAGCAGAAGGATGAGTTTTAAAGGCTGTAACAATATATAACAATTTTTCTTCAATACTTAATTGATGCATGAGGAGGAAATAATCTAAGTAGCCAACAGTGGTTGTTTTAACATTCTGGATACACTGGAGCTTGGGAAGCAGTAAACAGACGCAGGGAAACAAGTATCTTTTCATTAGTTTACTGCACAATAGGACATTCAAAACAGCTGGGGTACAGAGGATTCCCCTACTGCAGGGCTTTCTGCAGAATAAAGAGCATTATTCCAGTAAACCCCACAGGGGATATATCCCAGCATTTCTCCCGAGACCAAATATTATATTTTTTTCAGAGACTAAAATGAATACTGATGTATTCCCCAGCCTGCAAAATGCAGATAAGTCTCTCAGATTTATACGATGCAAAAACAATGTATTCGGACCATGTCAGTAGTCACTGCTATTGTCTTTCCACTTATCTATCTAGGGAGAAGCAGCAAGACATTTCCTTTCTCAGGACACTGCTTGTGTGTCCCTTTTCCCCGTCCATCCCTGCACGCGTCTGTAGGAGGACCAAAGGGATGGAGCAAAGCCATGAGAAGCCCCGCGGGAACACACAGCACACCCTCCAAGAGGATTTTGGAAGGTTTCTAAGGAACAAACCTCTTGTCCAAATTGCCCAGGGAGCTTTTAAACCTTTCACGCAAATAACAGATAACCCCAAAACTCAATTTTGGGGTAAATATTGCATAGGCAAGCCCACCTCCTGCCCAGCCTCCCAGGACAGGCTTAGCAGCAAGTGTGCACAGGTACATCGAGCGCAGCCGTTTTAACACTGTCATCTCAGACAGGGAGGGGAAAGGCAAAGTCAGATAGAAAAAAACTAACCAACCCTGGAAAATAAACCCCTCCCCCAAGAATTTTCTTCAAGCTGTAGAGAGAGGCTTTAGCTCAGCCCTCGCTTAAATACAGCCATTTTGGGGAGGAACAATGCTGAAATCCTGAGATTTTCAAAAACCAAGATGATGTCACATCGAAATGAATGGGGACACAGAGCCCTTGTGCTCGGCCAGGCCCTCCAGATACTACAGAAACCACCAGAAAGGCTTCACTGCGAGCAAAGGGTTTTGTGGTAGACCCAAAGGACCTAGTTTTATGGCTTCGTATGTGCATGAAGTTACACAAGAGCATTAAGTGGGATTTTCAGAAGAGCCCAAGGAGTAAGACAGGAACAGAAATGTTTTTCTTATCCCTCAGATTGCTGAGCACCATCCAAGTAAACACCTCCCAAGCCCAGCCCTATCTGCTTCCATGTGAAATGACAATTTGCATTTGCTCCGAGGCCAAACACACCATATCCCACCAAATCCAGCAATCGCACATTGAATTTGAAACAAACCCTGTTACAGATGGGCCCATGAAAGGTGAACAGCCTTGAGGGCTACTAAATACAGAGACACCATCTCCGGCCCAAGAAACGTCCAGACCGTGGATAACCAGGCTCCAGGAGAGCAGTTAAGTGTGTTGGAGTTACACGTTCCTGCTCCATGTTTACACTCTCCCGATGCACCTGGTCACGGGACACTGGGCTAACTGGCCTTTGAGTCTGACCCTGTGTGGCAACGGAGTCTTAAAGCACAGAAACCTTGAACACGGGCAATTTCCAGCTTTAGAGTACTCGATTTAGCCATTTCAACATCATGTTCCAAAATAAGAAATAAAGTAAAAGTAAAGTAAAATACCCATACATCTCTCTATTGACTGTGAGCTCTGCAGGACAATTTCCGTGCTGAGCTTTTATCTGCGACGTGAGCTTGGCAAGCACTTACCTTCTCGCAAAAAGTAAGAGAGAAAAAAAGCTACTTTTTTATCTGCAGCCTAAACTCCAGCCTGTAGCTATAGAGCCAGTTCAGCCACGTGGCCGGCCAGCGTTTAGCCCCACAGCAGCTCAGGATGCAGGTGCAGACGTTACTGGTGCCACCTCCATCGGCGCTGGCCCTCGAGCACGGGCCGCTGGAGATAAGAGCATTTCTCTCACAAGTTGAAGCCCCTTGTCTCCCTCTCGAGAGCAAACCCGGTGCCGCTGCCCCAGGCGCTGCGCATCCGCCAGCCCAGATGTACAAAAAATTCATCAGTCCCATCATCTGTCTAAACAGCTGAACTATCAGTAAGAACAGGATCATCCCAGTGCCGGCTCAGGGAGCAAGTCTGGCTTATAAAATAACAATCCTTTTCAGAGGCGTAGCAATACGTTTGATTTTAAGAGAGAAATACAAGCACAAGTATCAGGGCACAGCAGTCCCATCCTTGGCAGCATCCTGCTTCGACTCTCTCCTTCCTCCCCAGAGCAGAGGGAATCTGTCCTTGGCGTCTCCCTGTAAATACACCTATGTGCATTTTGTCAGTATATTTGAGTATGTTTATTCTCCATCCTGGTTAGGTGAGGCTGCGCAACAGCCTCCCTGATGCCATTTGCAAACATTAGCTTCAGTGCCTAAGACAACCGGACGGGAACTCCTTCCAAAATCACCCTCCGGCATCTGTGTTAGGCACACTCACATGTGCAATAATCTCTCTATTTTTTTTGTCCACACTGGCGTCAGGTGTTTACCGGAGACAGAAGGAGAAGCAGCGCAGACACAAACATATTCAGTAGCTAATCCCTCACTGCCTTCATCCCACTTCCACTGCAGACAGTCCCTCCAAAGCCGCTCCAAGCATTATTCTCTTTTAATCTATCCCTCCTAATGATAATATTTTTGTGTTCACTGACACACGCTATCCTCGCTCCGCTGCCCATAGACATGCACATTTACGAGGGAGGCGGCACTAGTTATTTAACCTCCCGTCGATGCCATGACTTGCTGCGACATCTTTCAAAATCAGCTAAACAAAGCCATGACTGAAACTTGAGGAAGACGGTAGATGAAATTAATAAATAAAAAGAAATCTGGGCCAGATGCTATTAAGAAGTTTCATATCCAATCCACAACCCTGAGCGTCTGGAGACATAAAGTAGGATATTTTCAAAGCCAGGCACCAGTTGTTAGACCTACTTGTGGCACGGCTCTGCCAGGCTTGTTTCTCTCCCTTTCCTCCCCAAATTGTTTGTGAGCCTTTTTCTTACTCTTGTGTGAAAAGACATAAAAAAATAGAAAAGTAAAGCAAAATCTGGACAAATGCAGGTCAGGAGAAAAAAAAGCACATATTTTTATCGGTAGATTAAATCGCAGGACAAGCGTTACCTTGGGAGCTGGCACCCGCCCCTGCGAGTCCAGGCAGAGCCTGTCCCCAGAGCATCTCCCGCAGCACAAACAGCAGCCGCGGCAGGAGGTGGGTTCCCGCATTATCCGGCGGCACAGACCACAGGCGCTCTGGAGCCTGAGCATCTCCTCCAGCATCACCGGGGTCGCCAGCCCCGAAGTCATCCACAGCCCCAGCCAAGGAGTGAAAACTCACACCCACGTGCCGCTGAATCACCTCTTAAAGCCTTTTCCGAGTACATGGGTAGGCACTTAGACAAGGTTGAGAACTTACGCCGAGCCCCTCCTTAGCCACGCAGGGCATAAATCTATTGGAGAAATTTTAGGGGCTCTTGAAGCCCGAGGATGCCGTTCCCAAAGGCACCCAAGGCGGTTGGGAGCTGCTTCAGAAAATGACACCAACTTCAAAAAGTGACTTAACAGCCTCTGGGGGAAAAAAGAAAAACGACTCTGAGGCATCTCTGCCCAACGTTAACCACTGAGGTCCTGGCTATGTTTCCAGCAACCGCATCTAAACCTGCCAGCCGACTCCTGGGTGCCAGCTCCGAATCTGGCCTCTGCGCGGGGCCCGTACACCAGCATCCCAGCACATCCCCGCCACGGGGTTTCCAGCAGGTGCCCGTAACCCGCAGCCAACCGCATCTCCGTTACTGCGACGGAGCCCACCTCGGACATACCACAGACCTCGTGGTGAGCCCTCCCGTCTCATCCCCGATACGGGAGACTTTGTGTTACCGCTGCCATCGCCAAAACAGTTTTCCTTCATCATACAGCTACTTTAAACCCTTTATTTTCAATCAAAGGCAGCCTATGCTCCCATGCGGGTAGCTCAGCAAGAGAGGAGGAACTTTCCATCCTGCACAACACCGTGCTGGGCCTTTCCTTGGGACACCAGGTCTTGCCACCGCATACCGGTGCTCTAATGCCAACAAATAAGGAGCACAGCTTCAAGAGAAACATGGTCTGTCTCTGACACTAGAAGAGGGAATCAGGGATGGAAAAGCCCAGTAAAAGTGAAGCCCTTTACGAGGAACTTCAAGGTCTTCAACTTTTGTTTCCCCATGGTCAAAGTTAGGAAAACCACCACCACAAAGAGCTCCAATGGCAAAATTAAATGTTTCCAGAACTGTTACCATACCTCAGTTTGCAGCGACAAAGCTGCACGAAGCCTTGTTTTGTGCAGTGACCAAGCCCAACCAGATTTTAGAATAAATCAACGTGCCATGTCACTACTTACCCTTGGGCCAACGTCCCCTGCTTCACCCTGTGTGTCAGGCAAAATAGCAAGGGTCAGCTACTAGAGTTCAAATTTCAATCACGAAGGACCGAGCGCGGGGTCAGCTGGACGCGGGGACAGCACACAAGGGAGGTGGCAAGAGTTCTATTGCTTAACGTATTCAAAACCAGTGAGATGAAGAGTTCGAGACAACACAATGGGGAAAGATTCTGCCCTGGCAGGCGATGAAACAGATAATAAATCAGAAATAGCAGATTGTTTCCAACTCTAAGGCTCCCCTAGCAACTGCTTATGTCCTACACATGCGAGGATTAACATCACTTTCAGTACGGTAATTACCTTCTTTGGCTGCTCTAATTTCATGGGAGGATGTCATGCAAACACAGAGCGTTGGAGCCCACAGCCTTGCCCTTGGAGGAAAGCAAGAGGAGAGTTGCATGCCACTCTCCTAACCCTTAAGGGGTTACCAAGAACCCTGCAGCATGGATGAGCTTTAAGGCCATACTTATTCTTCCTACATCTTTGCAAATTCTTTCTGCTCTCCCCTTCCCAGGGCTCACCCAAAAGCAACCCGAGAACCTGCTGCCACGGCTCCATGCCCCAACAAAACCCAGTGGTAACGTCATGCTGGCGTATTGGGGTAACCTGAGCTGAGAGAATTACAGCAGGAGGAGAACATACACCTGCTTCCCCAAAAGCCACACGTTAATGCAGTCTTTACCTTTTCCCCTTTTGGTCCTGGAGGTCCCTGGAAATACATAAGAAGAATCCGAGTTAAGAAACGGCAGAATCGTCAATGCACGTAACATCAAAACCAAGGAGACTGCATTCCTCAATTCACAAACCTGAGCCATGTTCACTATTATTTTAAGTTATACCTGCTATTATTTTAAGTTATACAGTGCTTCACATGAGCAGCATGCTACTGAGAAGCACCGATGAGGTCCTGCCCGCTCTTGCCGGGACAGAGGACCGGAGAAGGACCGGGGCAGGGCAGGCAGCGTGACAGCTGCTCGCAAACACGTGACTAAATAGATGCAAGAGACTTCTTGAAGTATTAAATCACTTCTAGAAAAACACATGCTCAGCATATCATTACAACAATTACACATCTGTTTGAAATAAACAAGGAGGATGGGCTGCTTTCTTTGGCCTATTTGCTGAAGACATAAGTCATCTTCCCTCTAAGCAGCTTTCTGTAAGGCAGGCAGGCAGAGACATGCTGCAGCCCCAAAGAGAAGCCGCAGAGCCACGCTTTGATGTGCCTGCTCTGCAACCTCCTTCCAGCACAGAAAAATACTGAAACTTGGGGTTCAGCCCAATTCACGGTGTTTGCTGAAGCGGGACCCAGTGGGATGCAGTGGGGGAAGGTCAGCAGAGAGGCCGACAGCGGCAGCATCTGCATCCCCACGCAGCATCCCTCCTGCTGTTAATTTGGCTCTAAGCAAAGCTGCTGGCCCCTTGCCTTCATGGAAAAGATCATGAACAGTCTGGTTTGAGTTTGGCCGTTTGATAAGTTTGCTTTTTCGTTGAGATTTTCCCTGCCTCTCACCCAGAGGTCTCGCTCCTGCCCAGTGCACACGCACAACTCGCAGCTGTTTGCGTGCCAAGGGCAGTGGGCGCAGGAGCGTGCTGCTGGGGATTGCGCTGCTCCTCCATCACGGGGTTTGGCTAATTCAAAGCCAAGCCCCGAACACAGCGGTGCGAGCTGGCCTTCCAGTTTCTTGGGATTTTTTTTCTTTTCTAATGCGTTATTTCTAGATTTCTTTTCATTCGCATTTGCCATCTTCAGCGGTAGGATAAAAACCAGCCACAGCGATGTTCAGCTATAATAAAATACTCCCCGACTGGCTAGAAATAAATATTTGGAGTAACTTTGTGATTGCAAAGACCGAATGACTTCTGCCCACTTTGAAAATCACAGTTGGTTTAGGACCAGAGCTTGAAAAGATTTCAAATGGTGCCCTCTAGTGAACGTGGTGGAATAGAGTGGGATTTGGACACAAAATATAGAGCTGTGACCTCCTGTAGCAACCATCCAGCCGAAGGAATCAGAGCTGGCTAGTGTTCAGCTAGCATAAAAACAAAAAAGTCTATGTTTCTGTAAAATAAGTGAGAAAAGAGCAGAGCACCTGAGTATCCAAAGAGCTTCCAAGCAAAAATGAAGTCAAGCAAACAGCTCATAAAATGAAGTCCAGGCTGTTCCACAAAGTATTGCGTGGACACCGGGCACTCCCAAGGACTTCCCACCTGGGCTCCTTTGGAGGCAAATGAACCCCGTTTGGGAACAATTATTTTTACGACACCGCTTCGTAGTGCCAGGAGCATGCAACCAAGATTACTGACTTTGCTTCTTTCAAGGTGCTACTGGAGTTTATTTCCCAAATTTGGTCTGCAGCCCAGCTGCAAAGTCTCCACTAGCTGAGCTGGCACAGGAGGGGGAGAAGCAGCCAAGACGAGCTGACAGGTAAAGCAAAGCTCACCTCTATCTGTGCCGGCCAGCTCTGGCTCAGAGTTTAAACTTGCGTGTGTTACAGACCACAGAATATTTTTTCTAAATACCATTTTGCCTCCTAAACAGTTATATATGTAGTAATAGATGAGTAATATTTGAGATTCTGCCTATCTATTGCAGAGCAGCACGAATAAAGACATGTTACATTTGGCACCTGGTGCTACTTACTGGTTTGCCATCCAAACCAAGAGGCCCCTGAAAAGGGAAGGAAAAGACGATATTATTAAAAAAGAAATAATAATAACAACAACAACAACAAAATCAATTTACAAACATAGCAATATCATTCATGCTCTGAAAGAGGCTCTACTTACGTATAGTACAACCTTTGGCTATGTTACTTATATACCTAATCCTTCATCCATGCAATCCACAGCAGGAAGGTTTCACAGAAGTACAGTAAGAGGCATCAAACAATTTGCAGAGTATAAAGAAGCGTGAGAGGAAGCGACAGGATTAGTGACAGGAACAGGGTGACACTGCTCTGGCACAGCGCTCGGGACTCCCTGAGGTTTTTCAAAGACTCTAAAAGAGCAGCAGTAAAACGTGCCTGCTTCGGTTAAACTGAGCAGGGAGTGACTCACGTCTACCTCAGACCTGAACCATTTGTTTTATCAAAAGGACTCGCTGAAACTCTACCATTTTACCCAAGATGTGGGGACCAAGCATCACCTTCAGTCCACAATGGTGAATCTCACTGATGGGAAGGGTTGTCTTGCTATGGAGAAAGGAAGGGTGCATCTGCCTCGTGGGCTGGTACCTATGTGCTTTGCTCACCTGCAGTGATACAAAGCTGGAAACGTGCTTGTATTTGCAGGACCAAGCACTTGGTCACCCCAGTTCTTCCCCGGGTCTCCCCTTTCTAGGCTTGCTGCAGGAGTGCATGGTAAATCGAGACGATAAATGGTTATTTCCCCATCGTTTCTGGCATGCAGCCCTTAATTAACGTGAAGCCACTGAACGTATTGGGCCGTAGGAAACCTTGCTTTTGAGAAAGGATGCACGTGGGGAGGGGAAGCACAGACGCTCTAAGGCCCACGGACAAAGCCAAAGCTGCCCCTGCTGTCAGCTGGAGCTGGCACACAGGCACTTGGGGATGAAGGGAAGCAGTTCAAAACTCAACAGTTACGGTAAATCCCAGAAGAACTGCATTTCCACCCATCCATGACCTGCCACCTGAGAACTTAAAACCTTTCCTCATTTAAACCCACAGAAGTCTCAGCCCTGCAAACTGTTCCTGCAGAGACGTGGCACGATGGCTGCGAGTCAGCAAAGCCCTCGGACTGACCTGCTTCCACCCCCAGATTTCCAGCATGCGCTGACGTGCTTCGCTGGGTGAGGATCCGCTCCGGAGGGAGCTGCAGACTGTGCCGAACAGTGGGCACTACGTCCCTGCCCCCTCCCCGCGGCAAAGCCTGACCCAGCGCCGCAGGATGGCTGGCAGCTCCTGTGGTCTCGAACACAAGCCGGCCTTGCTCTCCTCACTGCTTACTGCAAATTCAAGGGCTACGCTTGCAAAATGGTACCTTGGGATCATGACCTGCTCCCTCCTATGTCTGCCCAGCAGGGCCACACGTGTACGGCACACGCGCATCCTCCTGGCTCCTTCTGCAGACGTGCTGGGCTGAAACGTCTTCCCACATTACAGCCCCGTAAACCTGGAGGACCTACCGAAGCAAATGTACTTTGGACTATTGTATAACGCAACAATAAAGCATCCAAGTTTTCTGTATTTCTTAGGGAACCGATTAGGGTGAACTTTTTTTAATTCAGCTTAAATCTGTGATGGTGAAATTGAGCGAAAGAGAGAAAGGTGTGTAAGAGAAGCCCAATGGCTGCATTAAAAATAGCATCCTTCCAGCTCACAGCTCTGGCCATCAATAAGGAATAAATCAGTCTGCAGGGGCTGTGGTGTATGGAATATGGCTTGGAATATGAAACTGTGGAAAAAAAGAGGTAAATCTAGGTGGCTGAATCCTGGGCAGGGCATCGGTACCTATGTTATAAAGACTAGGGGACCTGGACAAGAGATGTTCATCTGAAAATAGATGGGGATTTCTTTACACACACGATTTCTGAAGTGACCAAACATAGATTATACTGTTCACGACGTATATTGTCTCTCATAAAGAACTACCAGTACACAACTGCTACGTAGCAATAATGAAAAATATAAATGGAATGCAGTTGCGTCCGTTAATGCAAAGGCTTGCAGGTCACAACCAAACTACTACTTCTTCCCCTAACACCCCCTTCATACTTTATCTCACCTCGATTCCTTACATTATAACACCCGAGAAAGGCGTCAGGTCCACAGAGCATCTTTCACGAAACTATGATTGTTTGAGATGGTTCACCTGAAGCTCCCGATGCAGCTCTCCGACCTCCAGAGGACAAGATGGACAGACCTGAGCAGAGAACTTCCAGCACATTCAACTTCTCAAAGGAGCAGAAGTCCCAGAGATTTTTTTTTTTTTTTAAATTTACAATACCAATTCATCAGCTTTTAGCTATTCTTGTATCAGTCCACAAAGGGACATCCAGAAGGAAAAACAATGTCCTATTCAAAGGATGTTTGTCTGAGGGAAAGCATTTAATGCTTGAGAAAAACAATATCCATCAGGCTTTCAAAGGGGCTTTCAGCCAGCCACGCCGCTGAATGGACAAGACTAACTCAGACTTTGAAATATTTTGTTAGTCTGGGCTGGAGATTTAATTGACTCTGCTCTACCTGCGCAGCCAAACGTCTGCGTGAGCAAAGTAGGGTTTCCGAGAGCAGCCAGAGGATTGCATGTGTAAAGTAGGAGAGAGCATCTGAAATCTGGGCTTGCTTACTTGATTGCCTGCAACTTTCAGGAGCACCCATGTGTTGAGGTCATTATTGTCTTTTATTTGAATTCTGCTCCATGTCTTTTTAATTAAAGATGAAGGAATCTTTAGTTTATTTGATAACTAAGGAACAGGAAAACAAGAAGTAACCCCCTATTCCCCCAGTCAAAACCCACCTCTATAGAAGTCTTGATTTTGGGGGGACAAAAATCACTTCCACTTAAACGACCAGCACAAAGCTTAAGAAAAAGGTGAGTTTTCTGGACACCCCACTACAGGGCCCAAGTAAGAGAAAGCATCGCAGTGGCTTCGTGCTGTGCTTTTTGCCCAGGGGTAAATTTCACTCATGCCTTCGCCCACTCTCGATTACAAGCCTTTTGCTCCAAATCACACACAGAGTGATGGCACTTTACATAATTAAATGCTCACTACATCAAGAGGGGATAAACTTTCTGCCTAGGACAAACCTGATGCTTTAAGACAAGGTAGAGAAAAAATTCAATCAACTTCCCCCAAAACATGGTTCTGACCAAAACCATCACCGCACCGACCAAGCGGGATGAAACCCATTGATCCCGGGTGCTTCGAGGAAGACAACACCGATGTGGTCCCAGCTGACAGCAATCAGTGGATGTCAGAGCCCACTTCCAGCTGTAATCAACTCAGATCTCATTTTCTGACCATGCACCAGTAAGGACCGCCTGCGTTCAGTGCCGGGCCAACGCGGCTCTGCGGGGCATCCTCCACGTTTGAAGAGAAAAGACAAAACATTGCTGTCAGTTTGAAAAAGAAAATACGTCCAGACCCTTTGGCTGGAGCCCTCAGGTTGCCAGGGCAGGAGAGGCTGGCAACACCGAGCAGGGGTGAGCGGTAATTGCAATTACTCGCCTTGGTTTTATGCCTCACAAATGTAGCGTAATGTAACGTAAGCACACGGTGCTCCTGCAGGCGTAATGACCCAAACCGTGGTGCCTCCCCACTGCCGTCACCTGGGTGACGACATTATTTATATAATGATATATATTTTATGGTATACATTAATGATATATTATTCAATGATATATATTTATACAATGATGCTGAGAATGCAGACACAAGTCAGATCAGATGTTGGTGCTTGAGCAGAGCTTGTTACTACATCATGCACTCTTGCTGAATGCCCTGGTTTGGCCATGCAACATTTCGGCTTCAGAGGAAGGGGCTACATTCAGATAAGTTTTAAAACAAGTTTAGATTTTTTTTTTTTTGTTTCACAGTAGAAGCTCAAAAGTCTCGGGATGTAGTACCAAAATGTCACCTCTCATTGCAAAAGTGAGATTCACCCAACGCTGAGAGCAGCTGAAGGCTTGGGAACAGTTTTAGGTTCACCAAAGTGGGAAGACATGGAGCTTGCAAGCTTCGATTCACATGCAAAAGCTCTTCCAATAATTAATAAGCATTTCCCCCATACACCCCTTACCCCTGCTCAGAGCAAGCCTAGGTGCCAGCCTGGCTAACTGGCCCTCTGCCTTCCTTCTCTGGTGCCATTACTGCTGCCGGCATGGATGTACTTGCTCTATCAGGCTTACAGGAATTTTAAGGGGGGAAAATATCTAGTGAAAACGAAGCCAGAGATTATTAAGAGGACAATCGTTCTGAGTTGGGAAATCTTCTCTCATGGTTATTTTTAATGTTTCCTGCTCTGCTAAAAATTAGCACAGGGTTCAGAAGGAACCCTGCAGTCAAATTTTAACAAATTCAAAGGACTGCCTTCAATCTCTGTCTCTGTGGTTTCGAAAAATGGTAAAATCTTACATTTAAAAAAGAAGAAAGTGTCAGAACAAAAGAGCACGACAATATTTTAGTATCCCTGCAAAGGCCCTGGGTCATTAGGTGGCGTGGTTTGCAGCGTAGCCAGGGAGCAGGGACCATCCTTTCCTATAGGCTACGCTGTAAATCTTCACAAGCGGGACCCCGTCTGCTGGCGATGCAGTTCCCTCAGCACATTTTTGTATGAGAAGAAAGCTCTGGCAAAAGCTGTGGCCAAGCACGCCCTGCCAGACCCGTCACAAGGAAAGTGGAGAAAGGCAGCCAGGTTGCTGTGGCTCCTCCGAGCTTCCCAGCTGAAGGAAAAGAGGAGAAGGACTGAGAAATGAAATGTGAGTCTTCTAAATAGCAGCTGAGAACTGCTGGTGCTAACTGTGAATGAATTGAGTACAAGAAGTGCTCTGGGATGTCACCTCGTCCTTGTCCCCAATTACCGCTACCCCCTCCTTCCCTAAAGTCCTCAGTGCAGAAGGACCAGAAGCCCTTATAAAAAAGCAAGTTTCTACTCCATCCAATACCACCTCTGCTACAGTAATCATTTGACCTTCCAAATAACAGCA